CAATACACAATCATTCATTGTGAATGGTACCTAATGATGGATTTTGTTCTTGGCTCCAGACCGAGGGCCAGTTTGAAACAACCCTGCTTTTAGTATAACAGAATACCGGTTGGCCATATTTTTCTATTACTTTAATTTATCACTGAACGTATAGAGACAACACACAGATAAATATTGACTAGAATTGACCAGAACGATTAAGACAAGATGTTGACAAATTTGAAAATCGGAGAATATATCAATTCAGAAATTACATATTTTCAGTAATGTATTTTTAGTGAAATATGCTGTTTTTTACAACAAAATTTATGTCAAATGTTTGGAGGTATGGTGTCACTTGGTGTGTCACCCATATTTCAGCCATTTGTATCATGAACAATTGGTTCGAGCACAATTATAAATAATTTTTGAGTAACTATTGAGTTGAAAATAAAATTTTAGAAATCCAAACCTCCAATCCATCTTTCACTGTCTGTATCCCGTGATCTCCTTTGACGACAGCAAGATGAGATTGTTCAAGCATTTGTTGTCGAGTTTCATGAAATTCCTGTAAAACGCAAATGCAAACAAAATTTGAATTTTTTCTAATGTTGTGAGCAATTTCTGCTTTCAGAAAATGATATTTGCAGTTCAACCTTTCATGTTGATCTCAGATTGAAAAAAAAAAATTTAAAAAACTTAGGCTGACCTAACTGTCAAATAGCATATAATTTAAGGTGGCGGTTCTCAAACTTTCTGTTTGCGCAGCGCCAAACTATCAGGCGCACTTACACAAAGAAAAATTGCTGCCCTTAACCTAACCTCATTTTTGTGATCGTTAATGTGTACTGTATACCTTTTTTTCAACTTGCAAACATGTATGTAATGTAGGCCATTAAAAAAGAAACTGCAGCTCGTGAAATTGAAACAAGTAGTGTCTACCTCTATCATTATGTAACAATAGAAATATACACAGCATTCAAAAAAGAAACAATAAAACCTTTATAATACAATATATAAAATATTAAAGTATATATTAGTTACGTTTAACACAGTTCTGTTAATTTTCGGGGTGCACTTAGCCTCCTTTGGGAACCGCTGATTAAAGGGTTGACAATGCGGTCTAGGACTCTCTCAACTCAACAAGCATGAGTTTGTTGAAGCTAACTCACCTTTGTAGCAGTGAACCATTTGACTCAACAAAACAGGCAAAGATGTGCTCGATTTGGTAAGTGAACTGATGGGCTAAGTACGAGCCTGATAAATCATTACTTAATAACTTACTCCTTGTAAGACCAGATATTCCTCAGACTTGATCCTGAGTTCTTCTGAAACTCCAGTAAAAAGTTCTTTGTAATTATCAAGTTCTTCTTGTCTTTGTTTGACCGTTGTTTCCAGTTCTTCAAGTCTCTCAGTCATTTCACTATAATGAGATAGATAATATGGTGGCTGGATTTCAATCCATGGCTAGTGGACCAGACAAATTTGCTTAGGAACATGCATTTTATAACTGAATACCATGTGTGGGTTCACACTCACAAGTTCAAAATCCTGTATAAGATGATTATATGCTAGAGCAGTAGTTCCCAGGGTTGATTGACCGGGAGTCAAAATTAAAAGTAAAAAGATATTCGCGGGCTGGGGTGCCCGCAAGGGGTCAATGCAGATACCGATACGTATGATTAATAAGATAACAGTATACAGTAATTGAATTGTGACGAATATACATGTGCTCATGTGCTGTGTAATGGTGTATAATAATGATGTAGTAACTATTGGTATCTAGAAAAGGTAAAAACATAAAATGTGTAATTATTTCACTCCAAGTTCGGCGAGCCATATTAAACCACGGCAACAGTTTGGGAACCACTGTGCTCAAGCATTGCTTGACTTTTCATCATTGTGAAGGGGTGTAAAGTACGGCCTGAAACAGTGTTTGTGTTCCCTTCGATAAATACAAAAAATTTACCTAAATTAAAAGAAGTGCCTTCAAGACAGATGCTACCAAGTCGGAAATAACAAGATTAGACTTAAAACACAGTAAAGTAGTTACTGCGGTTTTTCAGTAAATAATATATAATCCTTATCGTTAATGACAAATTACAAAGCAAGTTACTCGTATTGTTTCTTGTCCATGCATACACCATTTTTCTCTCTCGTTGCTACAAGTTCACGGCGAAGTCTCTCGATTTCATTGTCATATTGCTAAAAACAATATCATTCACTTTTCAACACGACAGTTTAGTGATAAAAATACACAAGATAGAGTGTACTTTGACTGTCAATGAATATTTCTTTGAACATTCGAATATTTATAACAGGTACCTTTATCAAAGTCTTCTTTATCATTCTCTGATTTACTTTCGGTTTGTTTTGAATATTTTTGGCACGAGAAGCATAATCCAATGTACTCAATGTTTCTTCTAGATTGTCCAAACCAGGAGCTATCGTTGCAATAATGGATGTTTTTGTGGCTCCACCGAGTGAATCTTGCAAAATCCTAGTCAGTCTGCTTTCCCTGAGACATGAATGAAAATTGTTAGTTCCATGTTATTTCTCTTACCTTAATAAATTGAAATAGTTGCAAGCTTGGGTGGAAAAGATTTACAAAAGACACTGGATTGAAAAATTGTTTGACCCAGACTCCAGCGCTCTACTCCAGTGTTGTGGAAATTCAAGGAGTTATTTCGGAATACTTTGAATCAGGAAATTTGATTATTCTAAAAATTAGCACACATTTTACCAAGAAAATTTTACCCAAATTTTTCAAAAACCAGGAAATTCAGCGAAAAATTGCAATCGTTGAGTCCAAGTAAACACACAAAAGAAAGAGTTGATAACGTAAGTATTAACATTTGAAAGAGGTTTTTGTGGTAGAAAAAGAGAAGAGATTGTTTGCTCTCCATTCCACTCCATTGTGCCTCTTCTCCATTGAAAAATAACTTATAATAAAAATACATACCTATATGGAACGTGAGGAGCATGATCCACTAGAGCTGTGATACATCTACCGAGAGTTAACAAACTCTGATTAATATTTCCAGCTTCTCTTGCTCTCATATCAACTGCACCTGATCTTCCAATATTTTCACTTCCAGCCAAATCCACCTATGTGAAATAATATAGGATTGAAAATTGTACACATAACAGTCTTTATTTTAATTCAATTTAAATTATCACTTACGTGGCAAAAACTGAATAAAAAAAAAAGGTAAAAACATTAAATTACCAAGTTAAGTTTTCCAATCTTGACCATTTCTTCTCCAACATTCTTTGTTAACTCCTTCAAATGTACAGTGATGGTAAAAACACTGTGAGATCTGCTGGAGAATTCATTCATTTCAGTAGCATGAGTTCTTCTCTTTGTCGCTCCACGAACCAGAATATCATAAACATCTGACTTGCTCAACACTCTGATCTCAGTCTGATCAGCGATTATTACTGATCCCTGACAAAAGTATGGCGATTATGCAGTATGTTCTGAAGTATACACAATTATGCCAGTACAAAATATTTAGACTTTTAGAAACTCAGTTTACGAAAACTGTCATATATCATTCACATATCAGTGTAGGTATTTTTAAATTTTTCTGAAATTATGATAAATTTAATCATTATATTAAGTCATTCAAAGTTTAATTAGTTCGATCAACTATATTATTATATTTTCATATATGGAATTTTTGTTTGTTTATAATATATTAGAAACACAATTTACTTGCAACTGCGCAATAAATCATAAAAATCTTAAATAAAAAGCACTCCTGTAATCTGATTCTGATACAAAATTAATAAAATCAAACTTCTGTTATAATCTGAATAAAAGTAAGAATGTTAAACACTAAATTGGGAGCTGACGCTGCCCTTCCATTCATCTCACCTTTCTATTGCTGTCATCATAAATTCTTCTCAACACAGGATCATCAGTCGGTGAAAGCAAATCATAAATTAATTCGTTATAAATTTCCAACAATGATACATGAATACTGAATTCCGCACTTTCCTGTACAAAATATGAAAGAAATTTATATAATGTGGGTGCAATCAGAGATGGCCAATACTGAATGATGCATTATTTTGAATACGTTCCCAAAATGACATTTTTGAATATGGAATATTGAATATATTCTAAATCAGTATATATTCGATGGGTTTGTTTTGAAAATGCAGGAAAGAAATTAAATGTCTACTTGTTGTACTGTTAATTTCTACAATACACCTTGATAATAATATTACGATGTTGGGCATTTCATTACTTAACGAATTTAGTTTTATGGTATTTTGAAACAACAATGAAAATTTTAACGCTGAATCGTATGCTAAATACCATGACCATGATAAGGACAAATGAAAATGTAACAGATTTGATAGAATATACTTTAGTGGCTAGTCAGAAGGAAACAGTTCTATCTATACATGTTTTGTAAATTGAAATTGTGAGGAGAAAAATTATTTGCGCCCGAAATGACATGAAAATCCATTAAAAGCGCTATATTATAAAAGAAAGTGAATACTACTGATATAAAAATAGAAGATACCTTTTCTAGTCTGTCAAACAATTGACTCAAGGTCCTTGGTATGATACCAGCCAATGGATCATTCTCCCACGTATAATCAAGATCTCCAGATCGCTCTCCTTCCATCGTAAAAGTTTTTCCTGTGCCAGTTTGGCCATAACTTGATAATAAAAGAGAAAATATTTTAGACTGTGGTATTACCTCACAAAAATCGTGGATCACGAAAGTTTCAAAAAGTAAACCACAATGTAAAATACAGGGTGAACCAAAAAAACGGAACCCATACAATATGTTTCAAATGGACTGGGTACCGTTTTTTTGATCACCCCACACATATATAGTTGTGCAGTTGATCAGTTGCCAGTTAATCGAAGAAAATATGCAGAAACAAAGCAAAATCTCATATAATGTAATCTCACATAATTCACCTATTGGAACCATAACCTTTGAATGGAAAAATTCATACATACATTTTTCATTGAATGAAAAATCCAACATACATAGGCTATTCTTAAATACTCACGCTAAGACAGTGCAGTTATATCCTGCAAGAACTTCATCAATATGAGGTTCAACAACACTACGATAGATGTCAACCTGCTTACTTGAAGGCCCAAATGTCTAAAATAAAAATAAATCATTATAATATTACAGTACCAATATTATGTTGTGGAATATATGCATAGCATTGCAACATTAAAAGTCACATAGGTTGTTTTTGTGTCAACAGAAATATAAAATTCTGTAATGTTTATTCAATCTGTAAGATTTTCTACATTAGATTAATTTTCTCATAACTTATATTAAACTCAAGCCTTATCAATTTAGTGAAACTTTATTATTTTTACCTTGTCAAATTTGTAAGTCTTATCCAAATTGTTGTTGCAGCATACTCGAACTTCTTTATCTCTTATATTTGTTTCCACAACACTTTTAATTCGTCCTCTTTTTTCATTTTCATTTAAAGGACTGAATATATAATTACAAATTACTCCGACTGATTGATGACAGAATTTTGTTATTCCAGTATTCACACACATTCTGACAATAAATTAACTATGGTCTGACGGTATGTCATTTGGGTGGAGGCTAACTCGCCATGAGGGCTAACTCGACATGGACCACTCGCCATGCGACGGCGGTTAACGGGTTAGCCTGCAACTGTGCGGAGGCTCTTCTTGTAATGGGAGATGGAAAGGTGGCTGTTTATACTAACAACTTCAATAGTAAGGATAGTAGTAAGTTTCACCGAAAATGTTTCAATGGAACTACAGTAGGAATGTCCAGGCCGCAATACAGATTACTGAAAAGTCGAGACGTCACTTTTGACTGGAAATGCCTAGACTGCTACACAAAGGTAAGTATAGAAGATATAGTATATATCTATTTTATATATAAGTATAAAAGTCAAAAAGTTATAATGATCTTTGCAGGCGGAAGATCATCAACAACAACAGCGGAATGATTCCACGATATATCTGGCCCCGCCGACGAACATTCCACGACTCGTTGATTACTCCGACTCTGAATGCTCTGAGATTAGCACAATACCTATGGTAAATATCCTCTCTCATTACTCATTTAGATCCCTAGTGTTTCGCACCTAGCCTATATGTCTAACTTGTTGCTCTTTTTTACAGACAGAGGAAATTTTTACATTTCCCGTCGGATGTTCAGGGGTGGTGGAGTCATCCATAGAGGCTTCTGTTCCCAGGGACATATCCAGCGAAATTGCCGAGACGACCTTCGTAGTGGAAGGGGACCTGAGTCAAAGAAAACATCTCAAGCTGTATGAGAGGCACGGTTACTCCTATACGGTTCTTCGCACTAATATCAATGGAAGTGGTGAGTTATAGTGAAACTCATATTACTACAACAAACAATTGCAATGTTTCTAATTAATCTTTTCTATCTACAGTTACCTGGCGGTGTTCGGTGCAGAGGAAAGGAAATATATGCCCGGCCAAGGTATACCAAACAGAAGATGATTTTAGTAGAAATGGTTTGGATCATACCCACGAACCTAGACCAAACGAACGGCCCCGCCGCTGTTCCTATCTCTGCGAGGCAAAATGACCACAGACGGGTTGAATAGATTTGCCGAATATTTCGACAGGACATGGCTGAAGAACTCAGTTTGGAAACCAAAAGACTGGTCAGTATTCGACGTCGACGTTAGGACTAACAACCATTTGGAAGGGTGGCATCGGTACTTCAATAGCATAGCACGGACAAATATGCCTTTTTATAGCCTTATATCCAAGATTCACGAGGTCAGCATTGCGGTGGAATCAGATGTAGTAGAAGTAATGGAGGAAAATATACCAAGAAGGGCTGACGCAAAATACAGCGAGGCAAATGACAAGCTGAAGGAAGTTTGGAGTGTTTTCAAGGACGGAGGATTATCTGCGGAGGCTCTCCTTCGAAGATGTTCAAAAATCTACGGCCCGGCCTTTTGTAAAGAGTAAGTAACCTAGTGTAAGTATTTTTCCCCTTCCTCAGTTTTTTTTTCATGTACAGCTATGATGCCTATCTGTGCTTGGGTTTCTTCTGGTAAAAAGAAATTCTGACTCGAAGGCTGAAACCTTGCCGTGGTGAGTTGGCTTAACACTAATATCAGTCGGCATCAGGGCAATCGACAATTATATAGAAAATAGACATGGCGAGTTAGCCCTCTCTCTCTCGCGATGTCGATCGTCATTTATAAAGAATAAAGACATGGCGAGTTATCCCTCTCTCTTGAACTCGTGATGTCGATCGTCAATTATAAAGAATAAAGACATGGCGAGTTAGCCCTCTCTCTCTCTCCAACTCGCGATGTCGATCGTCAATTATAAAGAATAAAGACATGGCGAGTTAGCCCTCTCTCTCTCTCGCGATGTCGATCGTCAATTATAAAGAATAAAGACATGGCGAGTTAGCCCTCTCTCTCTCGCGCGATGTCGATCGTCAATTATAAAGAATAAAGACATGGCGAGTTAGCCCTCTCTCTCGAACTCGCGATGTCGATCGTCAATTATAAAGAATAAAGACATGGCGAGTTAGCCCTCTCTCTCCCTCTCTGCTCGCAATCAACGGCTGTTAGAATAAAATGAGACTGCCGGTAGCAAAATAGAACTTTTGATATATTTAGCGTCGTTGTTGATTCAGTGCTCATACAATCAATTAATATGATGATATATTTAGCATGCTTAGATGAAAATGATAAGTTGAGACATCCTTTGCACGTCGAGTACCGTGTGGTACCGGTATGCCTTCCGACATATAAGCACGTTTTCTTGTCACTTTGTTACCATTTGCACAGTAGGTATTGTGACCAAACACATTTAATTTAATATATTTATCCTTACTATTGAAGTTGTTAGTATAAACAGCCACCTTTCTATCTCCCATTACAAGAAGAGCCTTCGCACAGTTGCAGGCTAACCCGTTAACCGCCGTCGCATGGCGAGTTAGCCCTCATGGCGAGTTAGCCGTCAGCCTGTCATTTTATACAGTTGTATTCAATAGAAAGAAAAAATCTATAATTTGGGGTGTTGCACCCACATTCCGACATCGTGATTTATCGAACATGTGGTCATTAACTTCAATGATTTAATTGTGGATAAGACTGATGAGATGATGTAAGTTTGATCACCTCGCTTGCCACAAAATCTGGACAAGTATGTTACAGAGTACGGCACACTATACAAATCGGGTGACATTGTCCCACTTCTGAGAAACCCATTTTACAGATAATCAGATACCCTTCCTTCGGGAGACGTCTGGACATTGTTGTCCCTCAATATCGGTAATAATACAGTATAATGAAGTTGTGCAGAATACTACAAAAAAGCGCAATCTAGTAACGTCATCATTGAATTCCTTGGAAAAAAATAATCCGATCTATCGAAGGAAAAAATTTTTTACCGTAGCATTTTAAAATTTTTAAGCCAAAACAGCAATTTTGGTCATGTGACGGCCACGATTAATTAATTCAGATTATTATTGAGACAAGCATGGCGTGATATGAAGCATCTTCGGATGATTTCACTATATTATGAACAATTTCTCCGCCGTTTATTGTTCAATTGAAGCCAAACTTGGAATATAATACAATGAGGCCTTTCTCTTCACGATAAACTCGGTTTCATATCAGTCAATACCTTTTTTCATTCAAATTATTGACTTTATTTGTCTGCAGATCTGTATTCCAAATGTTTCTAACTTCGGATGGCCACTTTTCGCTTTGCGTCACTTCGTCGTGAGAGAGAAATGTCTGCGTGATCAGTGACGCGTGATAACGTCGCTGCGTAGAACTTACGATGCCGTGATCCGTTTTGCGTGTCGCACACTGACGTTCATCTATGACGGCCGTTTTATTTTTTTCCGATTGTTAATTCTTTCGGGTCGGCGGACATTGAAGTTTTATATATCTGGTCAATGACATTAGCAGCATGCTTAATGTCATTGATCTGGTATACCCGTGCGTTTACATCGGCAACAGCTCTTGAAGACAAGAAGGACTGATTTCAAAACCCAAATTAATTTTATTCTGATTTTTATCTTATGTGTTGGCTTTGATATTATCACTCTTTGTATATTATTAATCGTTCGAGTTTAAAGAGAACGGTGATATTATTATCGACACCGGGATGGAGATATTTATTAAGACGATGATTGACGTTCTTATGCTTTGCACCTGCGATTGCACGAATCCTGAATTTTTATTTATTATAATAATTGAATAAATCGGCCGTTATGCATTTATACTTGTCATAAGGCATTTGGTCCTAATAGCGGGTCGGACGCTAATTATATATAACTATTTCCCTCAAGTTTTAACGTTTTTTTTTAGGACAAAACAATAACCCGACGGTTATTATAGCTAAAATCGTTACCGACTAACTCACAATTTTATCTACGGAATTTGCGAACTCAGCACTTTACTCGACGATTTTGACAGTGTCACGCCATAATTATTACCGCTAAAATGCTTCAAAATACAACGCATGTAATAATTTATGATAATTTTGCCCATCGCTATTTCTGACATTTCGCAAAACTAAACCATTTACTTCTGACTATTCTTAATTTCATGAAAGTGCTAGATTTTGCTAATATGATCGTTTTAATACAAAACAAAAATGAGACAACATGGGACAAATGAAAATAAAAAAACAAACGCATAAACTAAGTCGTAAAAATGGAAGTGGAAAACAATTTTTAATACGAAACAAAAATGAAACGAATGAAAGTAATAAAAAAAAGAATGATGAATTACGATAGGTAGTAAAAAATGGCAGTGGAAATGGAAAACAATAAGGAACGGTGGAGCTTGTGGCTCGTGTTCATAATTCAGATATAATGTATTCACAGGCAGATAGACAAAGTCAGATGAAACGGATAAAACGCCAAATAGAAACTTTGATACTCTTTTCTTCATTTTGCGACTTACTCGTATGTGGTCCAACCTCCTACTGAGTGCACCTGAGTTTCATGCTCACCTGTGCAACATGCTACGCTTAAGATATTATCATCGTAAACATACATACTTTATCATTGTGTGATAGTATAGATACGCGTAACTGGCTGTTCATTAGCCTTACGTATCAACAACATCTATACGTTCGGAGAATGAATGCAAAAATATTAACGCACAAATTTGATGTGCTTTAAACGGATTCACAATGAATAAACAGCATATGACTGGGGCTATAATGGAGTTTTTGTAGGATTTGGTGACTGGGATCAGGTAGGAGCTTTCACTTTATATTTAACTACACGTGGCGCCACATAGTCTGGCGTTCAAATGTCGCAGCGAGTTACGCAATGTGACGTCGGCGTTAAATGGAGCGAAATTGAATCACGTTGTTGACGTCACGTTCAGCGTAAGCATCGTAACGTCGATATTTTGACGAAATTTTTAAATCAAAATAATATATTTTACTTGAATCGCACGCGACATCTCGTGATCACTGTAATTTTCCTTGTACATTGTGTATGCCCTCTAGCGATTGACGGTCTTTTAGTGAAGTTAGCGTCGGCAGAAATCGCTATGTTAGCCGCTCAAAAACAAGGTGTTAATTTTTGGCTAAAATGTGATTTTTTGTGTCAAAAAATAAATAAGATTAGGCGATTAAATATGATAACAGATTTAGATATTTAAGGACTCTCTATAGAAACTGTCAGAAGCAAAATATGACGTAATTTAGTCAAGATATAAACGATTGAAAATTTCATCCGAAGTTACAAACCATCCGAAGTTACCTGCGTTTACGGTATGGTACGGCACCGCAGTCGCAGATAACGGTCGACTATCTGATTACGGTACCGGTACCAGTCTGTAAGGTAGGTCTTTTATTTTGTTTCAGTTTTCATATTCTACCGTATCATTCCAGCATTCTGACATATTTAAATTTTTTAATACAAAGATGAATTAGATTAGAACATAGTACTAGCCTACATTAGTACATAATCTACGGCTACATAGTACCGTAATAATTCTTACCGACATCTTATAGCAACGTGAACTTTTTCATCCGCTTTTTGTTGTTTTCCAGACTGACCTCTTAAACTCATGATGCAGTTCGTTCCGTTTTCTGAAGATTGTCGAGTTGGTGAACAAAACCAGCAAACGACTCAAAAATATAACACCACTAATAACGCTGAAATTTTCTGAAAGTGGCTACCTGTACGTTTGACTTGAATATTACAGATTTCAGAAGCGAGAAATTTCCGCCAGCGCCTTATGTTAACGCTGATATAAAGCCTTGTTTTGTATTTCCCTCTTCGGCCTACAAAGTCGCTACAGCCATTAGAACATTGGCAATTCATCACTAGAGGACGAACGTGTGGTGAAAAAAATCAAAATCAAAACAGCGACACCAAACCAACGACTATAATATTTTATGTAGAATATTTATTGATGTCATTAAATAAAATATTGCAGTACCTGTTTTGAAACATAATATACAGCGCCATATCAACCTAAAACACCACTGAGCGTGAGAATTTAAAAAACAAGAGAGCAATGCTCAAATATATGGACACGTTAACCATAGCGAAGCAGTCCTTACCTTTGACGCTACCGGTACCATTGAGGTGGTTATATAGTGTATATACACCTCAATGACCGGTACTCACGAAAAATTTCCTAGTTTTGCGTAGCAAGAATTTACAGAATCAAACCGGACAGCCAGTGTTCCCGTGAATAAAATAATACAGCGAAATTTTGGACAAAATATCAGATTTCACACAAAATTTAAAAATAAATAAAAGCAATAGCTTTCTGACAAAAACATCAATAGTGATCAAAAATCAATAAATCTCAAAGCAATTGGTCCAGTATTCGAAGAGAACCGATGGAGCAGCGGAAGAGCTGTGGCGCTGTCCGTACCCGGGATATCGTTAATAAGGGGCATTGAGAATATTGTCGTGGGACTGTTCCGCGTATAGCGGGATGTCCCTAGGAAAATTCGCCGTGTTTTTTGTATCGAATTGAATGGGTCAGCTGTTATTAGCTACGATTCATAGCGTCGGTGTACAATGCATCTGTATCAATAAATACATCTGGATCACAAACAGCAATTTCTTATGTTCTGGAATATTCGTTCTCATATTGGTCAACTTGCAATATGAGACGAAAACGCTTGAAGATTAAGATGGGATTTATGTCGGGAACTTCCATTTTGATATGGCACTCGACATTCCGGTGTAGTTTGTCTGCTTCTGTCAATAAAAGCAATTTATGAGTAACCAAGTCAATGAAAAACACATCAACATTTAAGGAATAAAGCAAACAATCAATCCTCAGTCTCGTGCGGTGGGCTATGTGAGTTAACAGAATTTTGACACAAAAATATATATCTGGACCAGAACCCAACTTCAAGTTTAAATTCCGAGTTCACGCTCGTGTATTTTTATTTTTCAAGCTTCAACGCCCGAATTCAACAATTCGCGTATACTGTATATACTTTTCTTTCGCAAGAATCAACGACCAAACTCTTTGAATTTGTGTCTTATTATCAACGTATATATCAAAACTGAATGTTTTGTGTGTCAATCAGATCAGATGATAGCCTACATGATTTATATACCTTAATTGTAAATCTTAAGATTGAATTTGGGGAAAGCTGATTTTGATGACCTTATGGTCGTATCGCTCCCTCCAGTCTGTACCGAATTGACTTGCATATTTTGTATATATATTATTGTACCCTTTCTTTTTTGGTTGACAAAGTAATAATCTCTTTCTCTCTCTCTCTAATGATGACGAATAACAAGAACAACAACATAATACTGAAACGATCGTTATGTCCACTAACGTGTCCATTAAGTTTTGAATGCTTACACAACTTCTTCAATTGTGAAAAAATAATCCGAATTTTTCCTCAGAAAGTTTACGAAGTGTTCCTATCGGTTGTTAAAGGAGGCCTGCATAGTCAATGATCTTATTATCAAAACTTGAAATTAACATTCCAGCCGATGCTCGGAGGAAACGCTAACTATGGCTGTTATGGACCAATGGTTACTAGACTAGAAGGTTTGTCTTTTTATGTCAATGGGTAATTTCTCCAATCTTTTACTGTTTTTCCAACTGTTCATACTGTATATCCAAATTTCGGAAACACATCTATAAACGTTTTTCAAATGCGTAGCAAAACCTGGGAAGCGATTTTATGTTTATCACTATGTGAAATTCTCTGGTTGAGAAAAAAAATCTGCACTGTTAAAATTGACTTGTTACGTCACGATTGGCATCGTACTAATTAGCCAATAACAGGAAAGTACGTTGATATATTGTTCCTATAGCGACATTCTGCCGGTGATGACTTCATAAAGATGCAATGTGGACTGGTAGTGTAGTGGCGGGGAGATACTTAGACGTTCGCTGCAGATGAAACTGGATTGGTTGGTTCCTACAATAACTTATAGGTTAATGTCCTCTTTCGCGGTAGCCTACTAGAGAGCTATTCCCTCAATGGGGAATGCTCTGAAGCAGCGCAGATAAATACAGCGGAATTTCTAGGAGACTATCTTTGTATATACTAGTGCCCCACTATAACCTAAATATTATTCCCAGCCCAACAGCCAGACAGTTACGGCTAGCAAGTAGTCGAAATTGAAAACAATACTAATATGCGATATGAAGGGCATGTTGAGGGTACTCTAATCAGACAAGGACTAAAGGCTTAAACATCGCTGCCGTTTCCGCTCACGAGCGATACTGCAAATGAAAAATTATATACGAATATTCACAAGATGTAATTGTCAACCTAATGCAAGAATGTGAAACTTGGAAACCTTATTCAGAAATCGGGTATGGCAATAGTTTGTTTACGAGTTCAGTGTTCCAGATACATGGACCTGGACTTCAAGAAATGGAGCTATTTTCCCATTGTTTGATAATCGTTTTGTACTCTGTTTTTGAATTCCAAGTTCTAGTTAATTCATATTTCCTAATTTGATTTGATAATTAGATTTCACAGAAGTTTCGAACATAGAGATCAGCAGCATGTAAACTAACTACATCGGAATGATAACACTTGGCGCCTTTGTTTCGTCAGCGTTGTGAATTTTTATTCTTTTCCATTGTTCCAATGAAAAATAACTACCGTTTTTGCAGGGAACAATAAGCGTACTGCTGCAAAAGACATTCAATTTTTTCCATGACGCACATTCCCGGATAAAATTCACTGATTTATACAGATATCAAACGATATTTTGCAAACAACGCATATACGTGGCGATGCCGCTGAATTATTGCGTTCAATTGTCACAAACGATTGCTTCCAAAGCATGTTTTTGTGCCTTTTAGCATCCGAGTTGACGTCATGAGCCGGAAACATTCGAACGAAATTGTTTGAAAAGGCTTCACGCCTGTGACGCGTAGCTACGACATTTTTATTTTCCCGTTTCGTAAATTTCTGACCATGATTACAAAACAATACATAATGCCTAAATTTATTATGTAATCGAATTACTCACGATCAGATGACAACATCAAACCGGACGATGAGGAAAAATATTTTGCAATTGAGCAACGCCAACAGAACTGGAGAATTTCCCCTTCAAATATTGACCAAAACAAGTTTCTGAACTTTTCTTCTCGCCATAACTAACTAACACAATCTTGATTGCAAAATGAAATTTTAATAATATTATCGAGACTGGATGCGAATAAAAATAATTAAAATAACAAACTAACATTCGAGCTCCAGATATTGAGTCCGTTCCTGATAATACAATAGTAAAAATGAGAACAAGACATAGTAAGTTCACACTCAGCAAACATATATATAAACAAATAAATAATACAAAAATAGGTATAAAGTATTCACATAGCCCTCTTGATATACAGTATTGATGCCAGATAGGTCAGGAAGTTATAAGACCCAAAATTCCAGAGAAATGGTACAGAGAATAAATCGCCAATTCACCCCAAAAAAACTTTTCAATCTTTAGTCATAGAGATCAAGCAAACTATTTGCATGTATCTTCGAGTTTCGCAGAACATTATCTGTGTATATATTAAATTGGATACTCATTAAAAACAGAGAGGAAATTCTCATCGACGTAGTCAAGTATACAACGAGAAAACATTTTCGAGCAAGATTTTCAGTTTGTTATCAATTGACTGGTTTCATAATAGCAATATACATTACAACGAAATAACAGAAAAAGATTTATTATAAAATATTCTATACTGACGAGCAAATTACTTTAGACCTGAATTTGAAGCCAGGATTTAAAATCAGACAAAAATTAGTACAAAAGTAAATCGAATCGACCAGTCAAATATAACAAATTGATCTTCATTAGCACGAGTTTCTTTATGTAAACTATATATATAATAACATACACGTTGCTTTTTGGACGCCGTTTGCATCCAGCTAATGTTGTCAATTCGAGCCCAAATTCGACCCGAGTCCCCAAGTACAATATTCATTCCTAGATATGTACGTATCATTTGAGATTAAATAACAAGAAATAAATAATCAAATAAAAAAAATGGCGTTTTAAAAAGATTTATCGATCAAACGACCCAAGAGTTGTTACGCATATCGGTACAAACGGTGTGCTTGTCAGCAAACTCATTAATCCATTCTAGAAAACCTACTCACTCCGAATATAACATACTAGTAAACCGCGCTGAAAAAAGGGTTGACGTAAATATGGAAAAAGACAGAAGAACCCATCACCAAAACTATGGATGGATGTTTTAATACAAATGACAAACAGTTGACTATTTTTCAAACTAATAATACCTAACTGTCGAACTCCCTTAGAACATTATTTGTCGCTGCATTAGCAGTAACAAATGTATGCTCATGCTCAGTGGATATCCTTGGTGCCATCTCAGTTTGGCCAAATTCAATTAATCAATATATAATCGATCCCAAATTAAACAAAGAACAAAGTTGACCATTCCACGCAAAATCTTTGCGATGAAGATAGCTTGAGGTTTATTTTGGGTATCCATACTATTTATGCAATATAGCGGTAGAAGTTTGCCATAGGCCTGCAGGTTTAATCGAGTTTGACAGGAAGCAATTGAGGGTATTCAGTTTTGCATTTCCGTCAGTTATGGTGTTGCCTTCGAATAACAGAATATTTTTCACTTTCATACATATGCTGAACATGTCTGGCATATATCACACAAAAGTTGATTCCATATTTAACGTAGGAAGTCAGTACAATATTTGCCACGTCTAGCCCTAACAATTTGATAATTGTCAGCCACACTTTCTTATCGAGATAACTGGTCATTTTGAGGGATGTTCTACATATAAATTGAGTACAAATTTCATTATCC